TAAAAATGATTTATAAATATTTCTAAATAAACAGTAAACATATTATTTTAATTATAATAAATGTCTGACAACAACAATTTGAATACTTAAGTAAATAATACTGTTATAAATATATTATATTTTTATATTGACCTTTTATTATAAATGTTTAGTTAAAGTCTCGAGTATTAATAAATTGAAATATTCATTAAAGATAGAAAATATTACGACATTTTCAAAGCAAATAATAATTTTATTTATTATAAAGTGAATATTTTTCAATACATTATTATGTTAAAATGTAATTCAGCAACACCATGTAAAATCTTACAAAATAGTTAAACGTAATTTAGGCAAGGGTGGCATTAATATTTGCGCCGCCAGTTATAATAGTGGTGTTCGTAGGGATTATAACGGGAACTGCGGGTACGGTTGTGTTTAGCTTCATTCGGATAGTGGCAAAAAAGTTGGGCACATCGTTAGTACGGATGTCTTTGAGCGCCTGTACGTCACTAGCATTGCGACGGCTTTCGCATGCGATCGCGCGGTCCAGATATCGGTCCACAAACTGCTCCAGTTTTCCCACACTTTTGGCTATTTCCTGACGACTACAGGGCTCTCGACCGTGGATTGGGAACTGGAAGCGACTGTTTGGACCAAACAAACCAAATGATGGACCCTGGAATAGACCTAGGCATAATTTGTTACAATTATTATCATGTAATCATATTTATAATTCAACATGTAACATGAGTAATTTTTTAATAAAGTGATAGAATTAAACTAATTTTGACTTAGAAATACTCACAATCGGTGATATTGGCCGCCAATACCAATGCAACTGATATAATAAGAATTGTATATTTCATTATAGGAAAATAATTAAACTTTAAGTTTTTTAGTTTATTATAATTATTTTTAGCGTAAATAATTTAATTTATTTTTGTGGTTATTTTATATAGATATCTTCCTGTTTATATACTTTGTCCCAAACCTATTGTCAATTATCTAAAACATGATTGTTTTGTCAAAACATTTATCAAAATAATTTGATTTATTAGACAATAATTAGAAAAAATAAATGCAATTGTTTTTTATATGAATCGGCGGAACATTATTTCACATAACAATTGTAATATTTATAAAGTATTTTCAATAACATATTTATAAACAATGTGTGTCTTTAAATATACTTGGAATTAAAATTAAATACCATGTAGATTTCCCAATAGAAGTACATTTGTTAACTAAAATACAAAATTAATTAATATACTCCAAATATTGTAAAATTCTTCAAAACTAATGAATAACAAAGTTTGGATAACATCTTGTTGTTTAATTTAAAAGGCAGTTTGTGTCCATTTAAACAATTAATCTCATTTTGTGAATCACCAAAACATTGTACTAAAAATGCAATAATTTTTATGTATCATCAATAAGGGGTGATTCGCAAATTACGTTCGCACTTTTTTAAGAAATTTAGACCCCCTCCCTCCCCTTTGTTCGCATATGTTCGCATGTAGTCATTAAAAAAATATTACGTTCGCATTCAAACAATTTAAAGAGTTTAAGGGATTAATTTTTATCAAAGTTAATCTTTTGATAACAACGGTTTGATAACAAACTTTAAGTAAATATATGACTTTTGAATAAAAATAGTTTTATTTCCAGTTATTCTATGTCTTCAA